ACATAGAGTTCTTGGTCTATCCATGAGTAGCACATATTTTTGCTTTGATTCTGAGTTTTATGGACAGACACAAGAACTTGCGATGGGATCTTGCCTATCTCCCATGTTGTTGAATAACTTTATGGCCAGACTTGAGGGGCATATTATGCAAGAGACGATAGTAACCCACAAATTATGGATTAGATACGGAGATTACTATTTTGCCATCTGGCCCAATGGCAAATAGAACTTTGATAATTTCCTACTTTCACTGAAACAACATAAAAAAAGCATTAGTTTCACAATTGAAATAGAATAGGATAGATCCTCATCCCTTTTAATATCCAGGGCAGTAGATAAAAGTGTGAGTAAGGAAAAGATATATTTATGGGAATTCAGCATATTTTGGCTCTTTTCTCAATCTTTTTTCAGAATATTCTTACAAAACTAAAGTTGGAATTTTTGAGTAAATAATTATTCGAGTATGAGTCTAGCGGATAGCAATTATCTGATTAATATAGTTGGAAAGACTGACAAATTTATTCCTTGGAACTAATTATCTTTTGAGCATAATTAAAAAGAATATCGCTTTACGTGGAAATACATTTTTGAACAGAGACTATTTTGTGAAAGATAGACAAGAGGAAACCTTTTCTAATCTTCTAATCCTGCCGTCATGCGTTATTCTAAGAATATAGGCAAGCAAACTATAAGTAGGGCGTAAAAATAGTGTTAGAAGAAACCCTCACACTTTCTTCGGTTATGCCATCTTTTGGTGCGAAATATGATCCATTATTTGCATATCGGCTGTTACCAGATTGTGTATTCCTGTGGTCGACATCATATTGGTCAAATATGTCGGTCTCTTTGACAAAAATATGGTAACACAAGAATACTTGCAAAGATCAGAATTGAACGGATATGGTTTTGCTGATTGTAGTAAGTCTGCTGCTGAAAGGAAGATAAGATTGAAATTCATAGATTCGGAAATACGATGCATGTGAGAGACGGAGGTGAAAGTTAAGTAAGAAATACTCATACTTGATTGATAGATTGAAGAAAAGAAATGTTGCTGAACCGCCATCACAAAGAAGACGACTTAATTTGTCTGCTCAATGATGCTTCTAAATTCCCTCACACTCATTCAACATGTCAGATTAAGCTTATCATCCAAACCAGACGTACCAGATTACGCGAACAGTTTAAACCCCAATGACCCTAGACTGAGATATTAGGACAGGTGGTTTTGTAACCTGGTTTACACGCTTACAAGCCTACATCTCATAATCTTAACCCTACATGCTTACGCTTTTACACAGTTCCGGTCAGGGCTTTTACTTGGGTCCGTTAGACTTGATGGTTGGTACCTGAAATTAGTCTTTTTTGATCACTCTAATTTAGGACCGGTATTGTGACAGTAAACATGCATACATAAACTTTAGCAAAAGTAGCATGACTACTATGAGAGATAATTGGTTAAAACTTTATATATATTTATATGCCAACTCATTTTCGGTTGTATTTATGAGTATTTACCAAATGCAATATAAACCTAACTAGATTACTAGACCACATTCAGTTAATTTTACACTTTTACAATAATGAGGAGAAACTCTGGTGATGCTCAAAATAGGATGGACGAAAACTCAGCCACTTTTCAACCAAAACGATGACCTGGACTGCTTCCATCTGAACAAATCTCTTCTTCAAGCACATTTATATTAGATTGAGGCCTCACCAGCAATCAGTTGTCGATTGCAACAATATATTTTGCCCACGAAATTGAGGAAATTATTTTATTTTGATGTGATTATTTTTCACCACTGTATGTAATTCATGAATATCAACTTTTCCAATCCAGATAACTTGTGCTAGTTCAGTTTCTCCGCAACTAAATAATCAGGCCCAATTTGTCATTTGATTTCCATTTGCACGAAATTCTCATCCAGGCTGGAGTTTAGCCGGTTTATGATCCTGACGAATGGAAAACTGCAGTCAAGGATGGATAAAATAGTATGTTGGTAGCCAAGGCTGAAGAAAATGCAATAAAATTCAGCAATCATTCATTAAATCACCGTTAATGACCTGAGCTGATTTATTAATTATTCAACGCTTGCTTATCGACTAAAAAACAACTTAAGCATTCCCTCCATATTGCATACGATAGCATCGCAAGTAAAGTGTGTTATACTACTTATTTTCAGTTTGTAAGTAGGCGCTCGAGACTACCATTAAATCAGATATATAATATGTGTTCAGCTTATTTGATTTAAGGTGATGTAGGACTAGCAGCTAATTTTCCCACATTCATATGAGTAGACCATACGCATCCATTAAATTTTAGTCTTTTAGTTGGTAGGGCAAAGTGAACTTTAATGCAAGCGTAAGGTGATTGTGGGAAAATCTACTGCTTCTGTCAAAGCTGAGTCCAGATAAGCAGGTTGGCACGAATGAAAGTGTAGGTCTCAAGTCAACTGTCGGTCTCTTCTCTTCACGACCCGGCGTCCAGACGCCTTTGATCTTGTGCCAATGGTCTGTCATGGCGTCCTGCTTTCAACCTATGCCTGCATTGTGTCTGCTCTCCAAGTTGAGCAAGAGGCCGATTTTCGTCTGATATCCTGTATCCGGCCCCAGCAACCGAAGAGTGGGGACAACCGACTGGTGATGTACCGTATCCATCGCCTCGTCCGCTCAGTCAAGCGGCATTTATTTCCTGCCCTGTTTGCTTGCAAGTTGCGCATTAAATCGAGTCTTGACTGTCGTTATTAGGCCTGCAGATCGGAGAACACAAGCCTTTTGGGTTTATCACTTCATGCAATTACACGTTTTTCCACTGCAATTACAGTCTACCTTTAGCATTATATACACGGTTTGATAGTTGGTAGTCATGGCAAACTAGACAATAAATTGCTCTAGGCCTGAGGGAGAGTAGCGGCATGGTGATTTTGGGAGGATAATGCAATAATTCGACTAATTTCTATGCGCATATGAGAAAGGAGAGGAGAAAACTTTAAATATCGAACAGAATTCGACTGAAATTGGACAACTAGCCACGTGGCCTGGCCGACACCGATGGTCGTTCAACGCACAAGGCAGAAGAGGGTGAAACTTACGACCAAACAGTACACTTTGCGTTTCATCTGAGGCCCTACCAGCTCATCAAGACTCGACTACAGCCTCGAACTCACCCCTAATTGGTCGCATCAGCTTCACAGCTGGACTCGAACCGTGGATGGTACATCTTTTAAGACAAGTCAGGTCTCTCCCAGTTCGTATTTTTATGGTGAGAACCTTGATAAAGGTATGATACAGACTGCATTATTTGTTTTCATAATGTGCTGCTTTTGATGCTTTCAGTGTATGACTAGATTCGAACTACTCACTGGTACAATCAGACCCCCACAGCCTGCTTACTCCAGACGCCAGGTCTGTCCTGGTCAGAGGAGATGCCATCGGATTTCTGTGAATCTGGAGTTGCCATGTGAGAGGGGAATTTTGCCCTGGACGCCAAACTCGATTGACCGGGCACATGACGTCCATCCGCGACATCCTCCCTATTCGGTGTGAATACTGGAAATGTTCCGAATATGGTGGCCAAACTAAATTCCCGCCGAGTAAGTTTCAAGTGTATGAGTGCAGCATATCAAGTGGCAATATCTGCCAGTTAAAAGGT